AGCTGGAACTTAGATAGATAGATACTTTATTTATTCCGAGGGAAATTCAAGTATCCAGTAGCATACGAAACATAGCCTACATACATTAAACATACATTAAACATACATTAAACCTACATTAAAATAGAATTAAAAATTAAAATTAAAATAACTTATAACACAATGACACTGCATTATACAATTGACTTTTGTTGACTTGACAGGAAAAGCACAGGTGGAACTAATAACATCAATAAAGCAATGCAGCAATGAATACAACAATGTTAATTTCACCACTTTACCACTAGATGGTAGTAAAATGTCCCTTACTGTATAGATGATACTAACGCTACTGCTATGTATTTTTTACATTGACATATAAAGGTTTTTTTATTATGCCAATTTATTAATAACTTATATATATATATTTATATATAACTTATGTTATAATAGTTTGTGTTGATTTCCAGGTACCGTGTATCGGTACGTCGTGGTGACGTCAGACGTAAAACTGAAGTGACGTTTTCTCCGTTCGCCGACCTTCCGCCTTGCACATGTGTTTACTGAAAATGTGGATAACTGAGCTAAAGAAGTAATAATAGTATTGTTGTGAACACGCTGTCTGTGCGCCGGGTGAATCATGGGGAAGCTGAATGTCGTGGTGTTGAGATACTTGTCTCGAGATGATTTCCGAGTCCTCACAGCGGTAAGTAACGAGGTAACGAGTAACGTTAGCAGAGTTAGCCTGTGCTAGTTCAGCCTGTAACCATACACAGAAACATACATTAACTGAGTGCTCATTAACTGCTGCAGTGGGTCAACATAACATGTCAGTGTAGAGAGGTGGGTGTTTATTAGTAAAACACAAAATCACTGTCTATAAAATGTTGCAAAACATGTGAATATGTAACTAACAAGAGCTATAGTCCAATATGTTACTGTATATTCTCAATGAGGGCATGATGATCAAGCAAGTCAATGTTTATATCAGTCAAATAAATGGAAAAAGTTTAAAGAAAAGACTACTCCACTGACTTAATATAGCATTTCCACCATATTAGGGGACTTACAGATGTCAAAAGGCTCAATATCGAAGCATTAGTAAGCTTTATATATACAGCAGAGTTTTAGAATATATTATTAATCGAGCTGACTTTCTCATAAAGGAGCCAATGAGATCTTTTCTATTGTGTCAAAGTATGTTTCTGTATCAATTTGTTTCCCCTCACCTTGAGGGATAAGTTCACATTAAAACAATACTTATACACTCATTATACACCACCCAGTATAGTAGCACACATAGTTATTTTAGTGCTGTTTGCGTTTCACCACACACCGGTAACTTGCTGAGTTTTATAATAACAACTGTACATCTCTAAATTATATTGTCATATTACTATAACTGAAATCCCAGAATCTCATCAAGCAGTGCTCATTTCATGTCAATTAATCTTTCAACTTGCAGCATTTGTAACATTTCAGCATTCTCATGATCAGATTATGTTTATTCACACAGGTTGAAATGGGGATGAAGAACCATGAGATTGTTCCAGTGAGTCTCCTGTCCTCCATCGCTAGCCTCAAACACGGCGGCTGCAACAAGATCCTCAGAGAGCTCGTCAGACACAAACTGGTGGTCTACGAACGCTCAAAGGGTAAGAAAACACACAGGAATGCTTGCTGAACCTCACTAGCCCCGGTGCATGTAGGTTATTTTACTAATGGTGCATGTGTATGTTGATTTCAGCCGTGCAGGGCTACAGGTTGAACTACGGAGGATATGACTACCTGGCTTTGAAAACCTTGTGCTCCAGAGAAGTGATCATATCAGTTGGCAACCAGATGGGTGTGGGTAAAGAGTCAGGTAAGAAACCACAAACATAAGACAACAGAAATAAACACTGTTAATTTTACTGTAGTATTTGAAAAGACAATTCAGCAGAACCCACGTGGGTAAGGATTCCCTCTGGTTAATGTAAATTACATCTATTCTCTGTCAGGTTTACAGGCTGCTTAGTCAAGGTCAGAAACTCTCATGTCCTCATGTTATTGCAAATATTTCTTTGTGCTCACCTCCTGTAGATATATATATTGTGGCGAGTCCGAACGGGGAGCAGTACGCTCTAAAGCTTCACAGATTGGGTCGCACCTCCTTCAGGAACCTGAAGAACAAGAGAGATTACCACAAACACAGGAAGAACATGTCCTGGCTCTACCTCTCTCGCCTTTCTGCCATGAAGGAGTTTGCCTACATGAAGGTAATGGAACAAATCAGAGAAAGTAGGAAAGTTACGTGGAATAGAAAGAAAATGTCACCAGTTTTGTTTGGTGCATCTTTTGAATCATCTCATCATTTTTCAGGCATTGTACGATCGGGGTTTTCCTGTTCCCAAACCTGTGGACTATAACAGACATGCCGTAGTGATGGAGCTCATCAATGGATATCCACTGTAAGTAAATAAGCCATTCTTCTTTCTTGCTTTATTTATTTCACAAGTAATAGTACATTTTGTTTAATTTGTGTGTATTGTCTCTCTCTTTCAGGTGTCAGGTGCATGAGCTGAAGGATCCATCAGCCCTGTACAGCGAGTTCATGGAGCTCATAGTCAAACTGGCCAACAATGGCTTGATCCATGGAGATTTTAACGAGTTCAACCTTATGTTGGATGACCAGGACCACATTACTATGATTGACTTCCCTCAAATGGTGTCCACCTCACATCTTAATGCTGAATGGTTGGTCTCGCTGTTATAAAATTAAGAATGATGATGACACCTGAAAATAATAAAACAAACGATTAAGTACAATTATGTTCACTTTTCCAAACTTTGTTTTTAGGTATTTTGACAGAGATGTCAAATGTATCAGAGATTTCTTCGCAAAACGATACAATTATGAGAGCGAGCTCTTCCCAACCTTCAAAGACATCAAGTAACTGCTCATTTATGTATTGGTTGCAAAAAATGAAAATTGTGTCGGTGTTCTTTTTTAGACGTGTACAGTAGCTTTCCTCTCAGAGGAGCTCTCAAATTGAACAACTATTCTTACAAGATCTTTTGTGGTCACTGTTTATTCCTACAGACGGACTCGTTCTCTAGATGTTGACGTCTCAGCTAGCGGCTTCACCAAAGATCTGGAGAGAGATGGTGCATTGCTACACCCAGCTGGACCTGAGGGAGAGGAAGATAGTGAGGAGGAAGGCGATGACGAAGATGCATCAGACGAGGAAACAGAAAAAGAAGAAGAGAGTGTGGACATGGAGGAATATAAGCATGCGATGCTGGAACTGGAAGGTCTGAAAGTCAGCGACACAGAAGCAGATTTACCAACCGACGACAACAAGGGTGAAAAAGGGGAAGAACAAAAAGAGACTGAGACAGCTCAGACTGCTAGAAGTGATGAAGAGACAGAGAAGGACTTGGAGGAAGAGTTGAATGAGGCAGAGGAAGAGTTGAATGAGGCGAAGGAAGAGTTGAATGAGGCAGAGGATGAGTGTCCAGAGCTGGCAGACCTTTCTACATCCAACAAAGATTTCAAACCCTTCAGGTAAACACAATGAAAGTTAAGATTATTAAGTATCCAAAAGGAAGCATGTTTGATGAGATGGTGCTCAGTTTGAATACTGCAGCTGTGGTACAGAGCCAACAAAAATTCTTAGATCTCGAAATTTGAGACATTTGACAGAAAATAGAGTGTACCAGTGAATTTCTCTGCTTTTCTGTACAATGTGTCGTACAAGCAGTTAATGTTTTCTGTGTGTTTTCTGTGTGTTTTCTCCTGCAGAGACTCAGACAGTCTTCTACACATGGCAGAACACTGTAGGAGGAGGACAGACAGTGAGGCCACAATGGGTAGCATAGGGAGCTGCTCTACCATACCACCAGTAAGTAAAACACATATACACATCATCTGTCTGCACGTACTCCTATTTAGTACCATTACAAAATACAAGTGCTCTAACTTGAATGACGAATTGGACATTTCACCAGACAGTGTAACAGTCCTAGTAAATGGTTTTGGACAGAAACTAGAATGGCTTCTAGGAGCTGCTAGAGAGCCTTTACATGGTGTTGCAGTTTGTCAGTGTGTGCAGGGTGACTTGTAGCAGAGACAACTTGTCTACGTACTGTTGTGTCTGCCTTGTGGAGACTCCAGTGCGTACATTAATCTGTAGTAACCTGCTGTGCTTGTTTTTGTGTGCCCTGCAGGAGGAAGTCCGTCAGAAGGTGCGGAGGCAGCTCACCAAACAGCAGAAGGCAGCACAGAGGAGACGTCTGCAGAAGGGAGAGGCCAACTTGGTGACCAAATCCAGGAGAGAGAACCAAAGTAACATCAAGTCTAGTATGGAGAGCGCCTCCTTCTGGGGATAAATGGGACTCTGTTCCTTTGTCTGGAGGTTGGAAAACATAGTTGATGGGAAAACTCAGAAAACAGTGCGACAACTCAACTGTTCTGTCATGCAAAACCTTCTTTTATATTTGAACTGCTTTGAACTGTCATGTTCAACATACAGTCTATTGTAAATATCGACTATTCATAATGAAGCCCTGTAATTGATAATTAAACCATTTAAACATTACTGATGAGGTGTGTTTTTCTCTGTTTATTTAAAAGGATGGTTTAACAAATACGTTTAAATAACATGATATCATATGCACCTGTGTTAAACATGTTTGCTAGTCAGGCGAGCATATTCTTTTTAATAAATACTATCATATCAACCTCCAAGATGGCTACAAAAGACAGAAACCCATTGAGTAACTTTTTCTATTATTGTAGTTTCAGGTTCATTCTAGGTCTGACAATACTGCTGACAGAGTGACTAATGTGGGTGTGGATTTGAGATTTAAACAGGATGCAAGTTCACGGAGAGCTTTTATTTATGCTAAACTGCTGTGGTTCAAAGGTCTCCAACTATTATGGTCATTTGAATAGAAAGCTACCTCCACCCTCCCAGCAACCAATCAAAAAAGTAGACACTGACTCAAGCATGTGGGAACACATGCTCCAGAACACTCCAATACGTTCAGTGTGAAAGGGTGCAGGAAATAGACACGCATACCCCTTCTCTCTGTCACACAGATACAACTCAATACAGAGTGAGGCATGACATGTAAAAGATGAGAAAGCAGAGGAATTGGGGAGCTAAGAAACCACTTCTTTCTCAGAATTTGGTTCATTTATGTGTAAGGGGCTTTCAGAAGGAGGGTGAATTCAGACTTGAACAATGGCCATTCATATTGAAGTGGGTGAATAGAGCTCAGATCCTGGGCTCCGTGGCCTCAAATTAGTATGTGAAGTCAAAAGTATCACACACACCACATGTTGGGTAGGGCTGTCTTTCAGATGCTGGACACTACGGGTTCTTCCTACAAAAAGAAGCATCTAGTATTATACCGGACTTAACATAGAACTATTCCTATTTTTTCCTCTTCCTCTGTGATGGTGTTGCACTGTGCTGTCTGTGGTTCAACTTGCCAACTTTGTGCAGGTCTTTAACTGCATGACTCTGTTCAGGGATTAGCCAGCTGCACAGCCAGAAGGGGAG